AATTGACGGAAAAAGTGCTAGTGTGACACGGCCTTAAGTAGTTTAATGCCTAGAATTTCCCACTTTTTCCCCATTTTAGCCTTCGCGGACGTGGCAACGCTGCTTTCAAAACAATTTCTTCGCTCCATTGTGTGTGTAAAAAAAAAAAAAAGAGAAAAAAAAGAGAGAGAGAGAAAAAAAAAAGAAAAAAATATCTGTTGTGCCTGTATATGCAAATCATACAAGCACAGGAGTCTAAATCTCAGAGAAAAAAAGAATATCGGATTGATTTGAATACCTCTCTTCTCTTTTCTTTAATAAATCTTGAATAACTTTTTTTTCCTTTAATATATCTTCAATACCTTTTCTTCTCTTTAATATATCTTGAATACCTTTTCTTTTCTTTAATATACCTCCAATACCTTTTTTTTAAGATATCTTCAATACCTTTTATGTCTTTAATATATCTTGAATACCTTTTTTTCTTTTAATATATCTTCAACACCTTTTCTTTTCCTTAATATATCTTCAGTATCGTTTTTATTCCTTAGTACATCTTCAGTACATTTTCTCTTTTTCTTTAATATATCTTGAAAACCTTTTTTTTTTTTTGATAAATCTTGATTACCGTGTATTTTTTCTTTAATATACCTTAAATACATCTTCTTTTCTTTTAATATATCTTGAATACTTTTCTTTCTTTAATACATCTTGAATACCTATTTTTTTTCTTTTAAAATATTTTCAATAGCTTTTATTTATTTCTTTTTTAATATATCCTGAATACCACTTTCTTAATATATCTTGAATACCTTTTCTTTTTTCTTTTATATATCTTCAACACCTTTTCTTTTCTTTTAATAAATCTTGAATGCCTTTTCTTTCTTTCATATATCTTGAAAACCTTTTTTTAGATATACCTTAAATACATTTTCTTTTTTCTTTAATATATCTCAACACCTTTTTCTTTTTTCGTTAATAAATCTTGAATACCTTTTCTTTTCCTTAATAATCTTGAATACCTTTTCTTTTCTTAAATATATCTTGAATACCTTTTCTTTCCCTTAATATATCCTCAACCTTTTTCTTTTTTAACATATCTTCAACACCTCTTTCTTTCCCTTAATAAATCTTCAACACCTTTTCTTTCCCTTAATAAATCTTCAAACACCTTTCTTTCCTTAATAAATATTCAACACCTTTTCTTTTCCTTAATAAATCTTCAACACCTTTTCTTTCCTTTAATAAATCTTCAATACCCTAATATATCTTCAACACCTTTTCTTTCCCTTAATAAATCTTCAATACCTTTTTCTTTCCTTTCACATATTTCAATACCTTTTCTTTCTTTTTCTTGAATACATCTTCAATACCCTTTCTTTTGATACATCTTCAACACCTTCTTTCCTTAATAAATCTTCAATACCTTTTTCTTTCCTTTTAATATATCTTCAACACCTTTTCTTTCCTTTCACATAGCTCTTCAACACCTTTTCTTTTCCTTAATAAATCTTCAACACCTTTTCTTTCCCTTAATAAATCTTCAACACCTTTTTCTCTCCTTTCACATAGCTCTTTCTTCCCCCTCCCAGGCATCGTGTTCGGGCCGACGCTACTTAGGACGTCTGAAGGTTCGGCGTCCCTGAGCTCTCTGGTGGACACGGTGCACCAGACGCGCGCCATCGAGCTTCTCATCACCTACGCCCACGAAATCTTCCCACAGAGCGAAATCCTGCAGTCGAGAGACCTGCAGGTAGGATGTAGGATGGGGGCGTGCGAGGGGGCGTGCGGGGGGCGTGCGGGGGGGCGGGGGTTTGTGTGGGCGTGAAGGCTAGCGAAGGGGATGGGGGGGGGATGGGTATGAGTAGGAGAGGGGAGAATTGTAGCTGTGTTTGGTTTCATTTCTTTGCGTTTATTGTGGTTTGCTTTTGTTTGTGTGTGTGTGTGGAGGGGGGATGTGTGTGGGTGTGTGTGTGTGTGTGTGTGTGTGTGTGTGTGTGTTGTGTGTGTTGTGGTGTGTGTGTGTGTGTGTGTGTGTGCGAGTGTGTGAGTGTGTGTGTGTGTGTGTGTGTGTGTGTGTGTGTGTGTGTGTGTGTGTGTGTGTGTGTGTGTGTGTGTGTGTGTGTGTGTGTGTGTGTGTGCGTGCGTGTGCGTGTGCGTGTATCCGTGCATATGTGTATGTAGTTTCATTAATTAATTGATATACTGTATTTGTATTAATCAAACTACAATTCAACCAACTGCAGTCATTCAGTGATAGAGCCAATTAATCAAATGTTCATTAATCTCCTAAAAAGCAAACTGACGTCGACGCTGTGTGTGTGTGTGTGTGTGTGTGTGTGTGTGTGTGTGTGTTGTGTGTGTGTGTGTGTGTGTGTGTGTCTGTGTTGTGTGTGTGTGTGCGTTGTGTGCGTATGTATGTGTGTGTGTATGTGTATGTGCGTATACCCTTGCATATGTGTACTTGAATTAAAATACTGTATTTTAACCCCACCCCCCTCCCACCCGCCCTGACCTCCCTGACCTGACCTCCTCCTCCCGCAGGTGCCCTCGGGAGCGTCCTCGGCCAGGGCGCGGATCGACGAGGTGCTCAAGCAGCCCCTACCCAGGTGAGTCTCATTCTCCGCCTTACCTGCTTTCCCCCCTTTTCTTCCAATTAATTCATGGTGTTAACGCTGGGGCAATGTCATAATTCATAATAATTATAATAATAATGATAATAATAATGTCATAATAATATTTAATTCATCATCTTATGGCGGAGGAAATGTCATAATTCATAATAGTAATAATAATAATAATAATAATAATGTCATAATAATATATAATAATAATGTCATAATAATATTTAATTCATCATCTTAACGCGGAGGAAATGTCATCATTTCGTAAGCCTCTCGGTAAGCCTCGAGGTCCACTGTAGAGCGAAGTGAAATATCAAAAAGGTTTGCATTATTTGAGTCATCCTTGATTACCCGGATGCTTTTTTGTCACTCTTTTTTTATCGGTTGAATTTATGAGGCAACGAAAGACCTCGCGGGAAAGACACGTTGGGAAGGAGATGGAGATAACGAGAATGTGAGAGGGAGAGGGATAGAGAGGGAGGGAGAGGGAAAGGAAGAGAGATAATAAAGGAGGGAGAAAGGGAGAAAGAGAGAGGGGAAGAGGGATGGAGGGAGGGATAGAGGGGGAGAGAGAGGGAAAAGGGATAATGAGGGAGGGAGACGGGAAAGGAAGAGAGATAAAGGAGGGAGAAAGGGAGAAAGAGTGGGAGAGATGGAGGGGGAGGAGAAAAGGGAGAAAAGTGAGAGGGGAGAGGGAGGGAGGGGGAGAGGGAGAGGGAAAAGGGATAATTAGGGAGGGAGAAGGAAAGGAAGAGGGATAAAGAAGGATAAAGAGAGAGGGGAGGAGAGGAAAGGGATACTGAGGAAGAAAGAGGGATAAAAAGGAGTGAGAAAGTTATAAAGAGAGAGGAGGGAGATGGATAAAGAGAAGTTTATTTACTATTACATTTCATGATTTAATTCATCAAATAATATCTATGAATAATGATAGTTACCATCATCAAACCGGGAATGCAGTCTGTCCGTGTCACAAAATTATTGTGAACAAGGACAGGTGGATGTCAGGCATGCGGTTCGTGATTATGATTAGTTTAAAATCCCTTGATATAAGCCCTTAGACCTCTGACCTCTGACCTCGCCCTCCCGGAGAAGCCTTTAGACCTCTGACCTCGCCCTCCCGGAGAAGCCTTTAGACCTCTGACCTCGCCCTCCCGGAGAAGCCCTTAGACCTCTGACCTCTGACCTCGCCCTCCTGGAGAAACCTTTAGACCTCTGACCTCGCCATCCCGAAAGAAAGGGTCCTTTCCCCTGCCGACCGCCTGTAGCTCCATCCGCCGGGGGGCTTCGTGTCAAGGGAGGGGCGAAGGGGAAGGGTGGTGGAGGTGTCACTCGCCCGGATGGCATTTCATTCCCGGTTCGACCCCTTGTCCCCCGCGAACGGCGCGTCCTGTCGGCTCGGGCTATGCAAATTTCGTCAGACTGTTATTACCATATGCAAAACCAGGTCCCTCCGCCCCCTTCTCTCTCTCTCTCTCTCTCTCTTTCTCTGTTTCTGTCTCTGTCTCTGTCTCTGTTTCTTCTCTCTCTCTCTCTCTCTCTCTCTCTCTCTCTCTCTCTCTCTCTCTCTCTCTCTCTCCTCTCTCTCTCTCTCCCTCCCTCCCTCCCTCCCTCCCTCCCTCCCTCCCTCCTCCCTCCCTCCCTCCCTCCCTCCCTACCTACCTACCTCTTCCCCCTTTGCCCACTTCGCCTCCCCCCTCCCCCCCTTCTCTCCGAATGGACCAGAGGCTCTAAACCGATTTTCCGTAAGATGTTGTTCGCGGTCTTGCTTTTCCACGTATTTCCTCTCGAGCCATCAGCGGAGGGACTGGCCGTTGGGGGTCGCCATTCTTCTACGAAATCTCAACAACAGTGTGAAAAGTGATTATTGTTTTATGGCTGTGTCCTTATACCCCCTTATACCTCCTTATATCCTGAGGGAAAACCTAATCCCTGTCTGCCATGCCCCCTTTCACAGCCGCCAGACCTCCGTGCACACCAGCAGCAGCAGCAGCAGCAGTAGCAGCAGCGGGGTCAACGTGAGCGGGATTTCGGGTCACAAGCGAGGTCGCGACGGAGGGGCGGTCGAGCTGGTGGGCGTGATGGAGGACTCGCCCTCGCCGGCGCCCGCGCACGCCCACAAGGACAGGAAGGACTCGGAGAACTTAGGTAATTGGCTCACTCTCCTGTCGTTTCTGCATCTGGAAAACTTGAGTAATCCGTTCAGTGTGTTAAGTTTAAAAGAAGTACTCGGCTAACTTGGGTCACTGGTCAGCTGGGTCAGCGCCCATGAAGAACTTTCTCTTTTCTTTGTCTTTGTCGCTTTTCTTTATCTTTATCTCTGTCTGTCTCTGTCTCTCTGTCTCTCTGTCTGTCTCTCTCTCTCTCTCTCTCTCTCTCCTCTCTCTCTCTCTGTCTCTCTCTCTTCTGTCTCTCTCTGTCTCTCTCTGTCTCTCTCTGTCTCTCTTGTCTCTCTGTCTCTCTGTCTCTCTCTCTCTCTCTCTCTCTCTCTCTCTCTCTCTCTCTCTCTCTCTCTCTCTCTCTCTCTCTCTCTCTCTCTCTCCTCTCTCTCTCTCTCTCTCTCTCTCCCCCTTATTCCCTTCGTGACTCCCTCTCTCCTTCGCAGACGAGGACTGGGAGTGGGAGGGCGAGGAGTCATCCACAGAGGCGGGCGGGAGCGAGCCGGCCACGCCCAGGCCGCCCGCAGCCGCCGCCCGCGCTCCCGCCGCCCACGCCAAGATCTACAAGACGTCGCTCAAGGACTACGTGGGGCTCGAGGGGGTGAGTTGCTGCCGCACACGCACACGCACACGCACACGCACATGCACACACACGCACGCACGCACGCACACGCACACTCACGCGCACACACGCACGCACACGCCACACACGCACGCACACGTACACTCACACGCAAAAGCACACGCACATGCACGTGTACTCGCACAGGCACACGCATATACAGAATATACAAATAAAGACCTAGTGATTATATTCATATACATTTTCTAGAATATACTTTTGACACTTTGATCGTACCTATTTGTGCAATATTTCCATGTGATTTTATTTCTGCACATTGTCATATGATATTAAGCAATGAAAACGTGAATTTATCCTTGGTATTTACACTCTCATAGAAACCACTGCATCTGATCATTCATTATAGCATTGGGTGCATTTTGCTGTCGCTGTTTGTTTTCGTGCAATTTCTAACACGTGAATGCAATTTTTTTTTTTTTTTTTTTAATATAGCCATTTACACGCTCGTTGGTTGAGAATTTTTCCACCTTTTTCTGTGTGTGAGATATTTTTTAGTAGAATGTGTGCAATTTTTTTTTTTTTTTTTGTCTTTTTCTAATCGGAATTTCTGATTCGAAGGCATGGTACGTGTGTTCAATCTGATTAACGTGTTTTGATTGGCGTTTTTGATGCAATTAATTTTTTTTTTTTTTTTTTTTTCTGTCGCTTGGTGTTGTCTTGGAGAGTCTTGTGAGAAGGCAGGAGGCATGTCGGGGTTCGGGGGGGGGATGGGGGTGCTATTATGTTTGGATTAGAGGAAGAGGGGGGAGGGGGAAGGGAGAGGGAGAGGGAAAGGGAGAGGGAAGGGGAGGGGGGGGAAAGTGAGATAGAAAGAAAGAGAGAGATATATATAGAAAGAGAGAGGGAGAGATAGAAAGAGGAAAGATAAAGAGATAAAAAATAAAAAAAATATATAATATATATATATATATATATATATATATATATATATATATAGAGAGAGAGAGAGAGAGAGAGGAGAGAGAGAGAGAGAGAGAGAGAGAGAGGAGAAGAGGAGAGAGGGAGAAGAGGGAGAGAGGGAAGAGAGAGGGAGAGAGGGAGAGAGGGAGAGAGGGAGAGAGGGAAGAGGGAGAGAGAGAGGAGAGGGAGAGAGAGAGGGAAGAGGGAGAGAGAGAGGGAAGAGGAGAAGAGAGAGGAGAGAGGGAGAGAGAGAGAGAGAGGAGAGAGGAGAGAGGGGAGAGAGAGGGAGAGAGAGAGGGAGAGAGAGAGGAGAGAGAGAGGAGAGGAGAGAGGGAGAGAGAGAGGAGAGAGAGAGAGGAGAGAGAGAGGAGAAGAGAGGGATAGAGGGATAGAGGGATAGATAGATAGATAGATAGATAGATAGATAGATAGATAGATAGATAATAGATAGATAGATAGATAGAAGATATATATAATATTATATATATATAATATAATATATATATATATATATAGAGAGAGAGAGAGAGAGAGAGAGAGAGAGAGAGAGAGAGAGAGAGAGAGAGAGAGAGAGAGAAAGGAAAGAGAGGAGAGAGAGAGAGAGAGAAGAAGAGAGAGAGAGAGGAGAGAGAGAGGAGAGAGAGAGAGAGAGAGAGAGAGAGAGAGAGAGAGAGAGAGAGAGAGAAGAGAGAAGAAAGAGAGAGAGAGAGAGAGAGAGAGAGAGAACTCAATTTATTGCTTAGATCTCTCATTTATTTTTTTCCTATTTCTTAAATTCCTATCCTTATATTTATTTACTTGTTTGGGAGGTGAATGTTTTATTTTTATTATGGTTAGGAACAAATTGCAAAATGGCCTCTTGTGTGAAGGCCAGCACCACTCAGCGAGCTTTGTGAAGGAATATCAAGTTAGGTATTGGTTAGATTGGCTAGAATCTGCGTGGGAACTTGCCTTCAGATCCGTATAAAAGCTTTCAAAAATATGATCTGTGTCGGTCTGCCTGCCTGTTAGCGTCAGGGGGTGAGAGGGTGAGGGGTGGTGAGGGTGAGGATGGGTGAGGGGAGAGAGGGTGAGGGTGAGAGTGACAGTGACAGTGACAGTGAGGGTGTGGATGTGGGTGGGTGTGGGTGAGGTGTGGTGAGGGTGTGGGTGTGAGGTGAGGGTGAGGGTGAGGGTGAGAGTGACAGTGACAGTGAGGGTGTGGATGTGGATGTGGATGTGGATGTGGATGTGGATGTGGATTGGGTGTGTGGGTGTGGGTGTGGGTGTGGGTGTTGGGTGTGGGTGAGGGTGAGAGTGAGAGTGGAGTGAGAGGGGAGTGGAGAGGAGAGAGAGAGAGAGAGAGAGAGAGAGAGAGAGAGAGAGAGAGAGAGAGAGAGAGAGAGAGAGAGAGAGAGAGAGAGAGAGAAGAGAGAGAGAGAGAGAGAGAGAGAGAGAGAGAGAGAGATAAAGAAAGAAAGAAGCAGCACGTATGATGGAAACATCGACTGAATATCATAAAACCCTCGACCCTCAACAAAAGCGCCAAAGCAATCAGAGTGTCCCCGAAATTCCCTTGGTTTCTCGAGCGTTGTGTGAATAGCCAGGGAGCCGCTTCTACTAACCCGACTGACACCTCTCCAACCCGGACCGAAGGCTGGCTCCCCCAAGCCCTCAGAGCCGCAGATGTGAGCGCCGTGGCCTCCTGCAGCTCGCCCGCCGTCAGGGTCGCTGCCGGCCTGCCTCTCTCGCTTCCGCGCGCGCTCGTGTGTTCGCCTAGCGCAAGTAACAGTTCCTAGCACTCTGCCTGTTGCTCATGCATTGACCCTCAGTGTGATGTGTTTGCATGACCGTGCTTGTGTAGCGATCCCGTAGGTATGTCATGCGAGGAACAGATGTTTCTTGCTTGTAGGAAATGTAAAAATGATTTTGGAGGATGTGCTGAATGGAGCCGACGGTGCCGCTGACACTGACGGGCAGCCATTGTGCCTTCCTCCAGCTTGCTGATGCAGCTCGCTTGACTTAGCATCTTCCGACCATCCCATCCACATCCATCCATGCCGGGATTAGAGTTGTAAGATCTTCCCCTGTATTGCGAAGGACCTCGAATTGTGCTTAGTAGTACACCCTTTCCTGTAGCTGTAGATGCTACTATTTTTGCTAATCGCTTAGCCTGTCTCCTGAGTAGACATTTCCTTGCCACAGTTTATGCAGATAAACATACATATCATTTGTGCCTCCTTTAACCCCACACTACAGTGCTGCCCGCCACATCCTGAACAACATAGCCACGATGTCCCTTCACCCGTAGTGTAGTGGAAGTCCCCTTGATAACAGCTAGCCCTTAGCTGGCACTCCCTTGACGTAGCGTCTCCCCCCAGGTGGCCATGCACGTGTCCACGGGTCTGCACACTGCACACGAGGCGGTGGATGTTGTCCACCAGAAGCTACGCAAGACCGTGAGCGACATTTCGTCCTCGCTGCGGCCGCCCTCCGCGCAGGACCTCTCTCGGAGAGCCACCGTGGAGGATGTGCACAGACGAGGAGGAGGAGGAGGAGGGGGGCTCGGCGAGGATGCGTCCAGGAGACCCACCATCACGCAGGAGACGTCCAGAAAGCACGCGAGCGCCATCGTGACCCTCTCCTCCGAGGAGCACCCCGGCAGAAGACAACCGGCGCCCGACGTCGATCAGAGAAGACAACACTCGACCGAGGAGTCGACGTCGACCAGGAAGGTCATGCTGGAGGAGGTGGGCAGGAAGGCCACGCTGGAGGAGCGGCTCGGCTTCCAGGGGGAGGAGAGGCAGCGCGCCGGCCCTGGCGCCTCCTCCGCGTCACTCAGCAGAGCGCAGGCACTCTACAAGAGCGAGTCCAAGTCCAGTATGAGTGAGACGGAACTCAAGGTGCGGGTCGCTCGGAAGGCTGATGCAGGGGGCAGGGGCAAGGGGATCAGGGCAAGGGGCAGGGACAGGGGTCAAGGGGCAAGGGGCCTCACTGGGCAAAGCAAGGGCATTGTGTCAGGGGATCATGTCTGAGAGTGAATGAACCTCTCTACAGATTGGAAAGATTTTATTTGAGGTTACATATAGTGTGTGTATGAGAGAGAGAGAGAGAGAGAGAGAGAGGAGAGAGAGAGAGAGAGAGAAGAGAAGAGAGAGAGAGAGAGAGAGAGAGAGAGAGAGAGAGAGAGAGAGAGAATTCTCACCCCCACGCCCTCTCTAACGTTCCCTTTCTCCCGAAGGTGGAAGTGCGGACGAGTTCGGGCGTGACGAAGACGGAGTCCCGCGGGTCCGTGACGCTGGAGCAGGGCGCGGGCGTGGCGGGCTCCGGGGGGGCGGGCGCAAGGTCTCGCCCCTGCTCGGCCAGCGCTCCAGCCACGCCCACCGCTCGGGACTCGCCAGCGGCACCGACTCCTCCATCGACTCCGACTACAGCTACGAGTACAGCCAGCCGAGCGCCGCCGGAGCCGCCCCGACGTGCCCCTCCGCCGCCCACGCCTCGGTGCTGTCGGCGCGCGGGCGGAACGAGGTCATGGTGGGCGGGGCGTCGCGGGCGGTGTCGGTGTCGCGTGACCCGTCCCTGGACAACGTGACCTCATCGGTGACCTCGTCCGACTCGTCCTCGCAGGAGCTGGATTCCGCCCACGCCACCGAGGACTCGCACAGCTCGGAGGCGTACGACGAGGCGGACGCCGCCCACGCACGCCCGCTCGCCTACTCCTCCGGTACGACCATTGCGGGCGGAACTGCGCCCTCTCTCTCTCTTTCTCCTTCTTTCTTTTATTTTTATCCTCTTCTCTTCTCTTTCTCTCTTCTCTCTTCTCTCTCTTCTCTTTCTCTTTCTCTCTCTCTCTCTCCTCTCTCTCTCTCTCTCTCTCTCTCTCTTCTCTCTCTCTCTCTCTCTCTCTCTCTCTCTCTCTCTCTCTTCTCTCTCCTCTCTCCTCTCTGTCTCTCTCTCTCTCCCTCTCCCTCTCCCTCTCCCTCTCTCCCTCTCTTCCTCTCTCCCTCTCTCCCTCCCTCCCTCTCTCCTTCTCCCTCTCCCTCTCTCTCACTTTCCTTTTCTTATCTTCCCTCTCCGTTTTCCGTTCTCTCCTGTTTTTCGTTTTTTCTTTTCCCTTTATTTTTCAAATCAAATTTCCATTTCCAGCCCCTATGTCTCATCCCTTTTTTTAGGCCTATCTTGGCATGTCTTTTATTAGTTCAATTTCAACTACCATTAACGTGATTAAGTTCATTTTAATCAAGTCTAAGGGGGGTTGTCAGTGGTCTTATTAATAATGATAATGATGATGATAATGGTGTTGATTATGATGATGATAAACACTATTAATTGGGGTAAAATGTTGATAGTGGTAATGGTAATGACAGTAATAGAGGTTGTCAATATTTTTATTATCATTATTATTATTGTCATTGTTAATATCGTTCTTATTGTTGCTGTTGTTATTATCATTGTTGTTGTTTATTGTTATTATTATTATTATTATTATGATTACTATTATTATCATTATTATTATTGTTGTTATTGTTACTATAATTCATTTTTGTTATTATTATGATTATTATCATTATTGTTATTATTATCATTATTCTCATTATTATTCATTATTGGTGTTTTTTATCATCATCATCATCATCATTATTGTTCTTCTTTTTGTTATTATATATCACCATAATCCTTATCGGTGGTTGCTCTTATCACTACCACCTTTATTACTTTATTGCGTTTATCGGGACCTTATACTACCATTATTATTATTGTGTTGTAGTAAGCATTATTGGTAACTGTTATCGCTATTACAAATGCTTAAAAAAAGGTACCGAATTATGGTATTCAGTATCTTTTGTACCATCACGAATTCCTTCTTTTTATATTCTCATAACTTGTAGTTTGACATTTTTTCACCTTAATTTTCACCTCAATTTTTCTTATTTTTTCTAATTACATTCATTCATGCTGAAAACACGCGATAATGTGAATGGAAAAAATCTCTTGAAGAAGTATTTATTTAGTAAAGGGAGTTCTAAGAAAAAAAAAAATTGTAATGATGACTGACGGTAAGCCATTGTTGGAAGTGTAAACTAAGTGTATTTACGCCATGCCTCGTTTAAAGTGCAATGGTGTTTTTAGATTGTCATGTATGAGGTGTTTTTAGATTGTCATGTATGAGGTGTTTTTAGATTGTCATGTATGAGGTGTTTTTAGATTGTCATGTATGAGGTGCCTGAAGCCATATGTTTGTTATTGATTCTGAGAGCGTGTGCATGTGTGTGTGTGTGGTGATGTTTGGATGTATGTGTGTAAGTGATTGTGAGGAAGGGAGGGAAGGAGGAGAGAGAAGAGAGAGAGAGAGAGAGATAGAGAGAGATAGAGATAGAGAGAAGAGATAGAGAGAGGAGAGGAGAGGGTAGAGAGAAGAGATAGAGATAGAGAGAGGAGAGAGAGAGATAGGTAGAGAGAAGAGAGAGAGGTTAGGGAGAGAAGATAGAGAGAGAGAGAGATAGGGAGAGAGGTAGAGAGAGATAGGAGAGAGAGTAGAGTGAGATAGGAGAGAGTAAGAGAGAAAGAGAGAGAGTGAGTGAGTGTGTGAGTGCGAGAAAGGCACACTGCTGTGTGTGTGTGTGTGTGTGTGTGTGTGTGTGTGTGTGTGTGTGTGTGTGTGTGTGTGTGTGTGTGTGTGTGTGTGTGTGTGTGTGTGTGTGTGTGTGTGTGTGTGTGTGTGTGTGTTTATGCATACGCATAATTATATTATCATTTACACTTCGAGCCATTTATACATAACATATCCGCATATTTTTTTATGTCTTAGAGGAACTGGCTAAACTTTTCTAGTTGATGAAGTGGCCAATCCTGAAATATGTGCTGTTTCCGTCTCCTAACTGGTTGTTCTACTGTTTTCAGCACACTTTGCACGATCCACAAGTGAAGAGTCCAGCTCCTAGTACATAAAATCAAAATTAAAAATTTCCAGAACTAAAACAAACTTCCAAACGAGTAACTGGCAACCTTTGTGTAAGTCTTTCCAGCTGATAGACGATTTCTTAGAAGTGTCTGTATGGTCCATTATTTCTAATATTTCAATAAGACTATCGTCCAAAAGAACAGCTCCGTGTAGAGTGCGAAAGGGGGTGTTTTTTATATATGATTTTTTCAAGTATATATATATTCATATATGCGGTAAATGCCCATCTATTTACCTATCTGCACGCACAAACACTGCGTATGCGCTATATATATATATATATATATATATATATATATATATATATATATATATATATATATATATATATATGTGTGTGTGTGTGTGTGTGTGTGTGTGTGTGTGTGTGTGTGTGTGTGTGTGTGTGTGTGTTGTGTGTGTGTGTGTGTGTGTGTGTGTGTGTATGCGTGTTGCGTGTGTGCGTGTGCGTGTGCGTGTGCGTGTGTGTGTGTGTGTGTGTGTGTGTGTGTGTGTGTGTGTTGTGTGTGTGTGTGTGTGTGTGTGTGTGTGTGTGTGTGTGTGTGTGTGTGTGTGTGTGTATGTGTATACATACACACACAAACGGACACACACACACACGGTTGTATGTATGTATATTGGTGCCTGTATGAGGGTACACAAACCCCGTGAATACGCATTCAAAGGACGCAATCAAATAGTCACTTAAAAAAAAAAAGAAAAATCAGATAAAAAAACATCAACAATTATTTCATCCTTTTATATATAATTGCTAAACTTAATATATCTGATTTATCTTGCCACAAGAATATCACGTCTATTTCACCAAAAAAAAAAAAAAAAATAAAATATAATAATAATAAATAGGGGCAAGAAAATGCGATGGACCATACGGATACGGACTAATACTAACTGCTGTTTGGTTTTTCTTTTCTGCCTTCGAGACTAACACGACTTGTCTGGAAATTTTTTGTGCCTTTTTTATGATAGAAATGATCTAATTCTAGTATTACTCGCACTTCTTTTTTCCTACTAATTCATTTTCTATTCTTAGTGGATCGCTTTGCATGTTTTTTCTCTTTTTTTTAGTGGCAATCTGCTTTCTTCAGTGCTTTATTCTTTATTCTTTAGTCTCCCCTTCGATATTTCATCTTCTTTAGACGTACAGAACTGGCTCTGTAGGATTAGTCTATTCATACATAATTAAAGATTAAAAAAAAAAAGATTAATAAATGATATTTAGGGCGATCTAGGAGCTGGTTGGGATCTGTTTTCGGTCTTCTTATTTTTTGACTTCGAATAGAACTTGCAGAGAGTTTGGAAAAAAAATAGATATTGCGAGAACGGGCGGATTTTCCCCAGAAATGTGTCGTGATCATGCGAGAGTGATTCCACCCCACCTCCTCAGTCCCCCACCTTATATATCCCCGTTTCCTCCCCTCTCTCCCGTCCCCCTCATACCCCCACGTCTCCTCCCCTCCTCCCCCCCTCCTCCCTTTCCTCCCCCCCCCCCTTTTCCTCCCTCCCCTCCTTTCCTTCTCTTACCCCCCCCCCTCCCTTTCCTATCCCTACCCTCTCCCCCCTCCTCAACGCACCTCCGAATCCGTGGGCGCGAATCGGAGCCGTCCCGCCCACACAGGACGCGACGGACCCGAAGGGGCGCCGCGCCCTGGTCGATGCGCCGCGTCCGTTGAGGGAAGGGGCTTGGCGATACACACGCACGCACACGCACACGATCACGCTCACGCACACGCACACGCACACGCACACGCACATACACACACATACACACACACACGCACACACACGCACACACACACATACACACACATACACACACATACACACACACACACACACACACACACACACACACACACACACACACACACACACACACACACACACACACACACACACACACACACACACACACACACACACACACATACACACATACAAATAAATAAAAATTAGTCAAACATACCCAAACCAAAAAACAAACAAACAAACAAACACACACACCAAGCTACTTAAAAAATAACATAAAAGAAAAGATAAAATAACCATCAGATATCCATACTGAAGCGCTGGGTAACTCGTCCGAATACCTGACACAATGCAACACAAGGTCTGTATAACATTTAGACCTTGATATAACGAGCCTTAACGAGGGAAACGAACGCTGGAAAAGGCATTCGGACGCAGGGCATGGGTCATTTTTTTTCTCCCTAAATGCCTGGCTGACATGAGTTTTTTCCCCCCATTTTTTCACCTTTTTAAAAGTATTTTATGTTATTTTTGTTGTTTGTTTTTTGCTGTTGATTTGGATTTGCCTCGCTTTAAAGTGGGAAAAAAATTATAAATAAAAAAAATTAATTGTGTGGTATTTATTTATTTTGCCTCGCTTTAAAGTAAAAAAAAAAACCTGGTATTTATTTATTTTTGCTAAAAATTATTAAAAGAAAACAATAAAAAACATTAATTTAATTGTATTTATTTTCGTCTCGCTTTAAAGTAAAAACAAAAAACAATAATTAAGTGTGGGTATTTATTTTTTTTTTTTGTCTCGCCTTTAAAGTAAAATAAGAACATTAATTAAGTTGTATTTATTTATTTATTTTTTGTCTCGCTTTAAAGTGAAAAATAAAAAATTAAGGTGGTATTTATTGTTTATTTTGTCTCGCTTTAAAGCAAAAAATATAATTAAGTGTGGTATTTATTTATTTATTTATTGTCTCGTTTTAAAATAAAAACAAACAAACATTAATTGAGTGT